ATACTTCCCTTTGCCGCTTGTTTGTAGCCAGGAGGGTAAGGAGGAAGGGGGGGGCCTGCGGAAAAATTTCTACCCTATGCGGAGTGATGTAGCAGGACCTAAATTTAGCCTGTTTTACAAGAGGTCTGGAAGGCAGCCCACAGCCTAACAGGCTTTATAAGCTCCCCGGCTGCCTCCGAGCTCACTGGCTCCGTCCACGAGGCTTCCCAGTCGCACCTGGGGTCCGGGTTTCTCTCCAGACAGCTCCTCCAGCATCTCACTTGTTGCTTTCCCATTTTTTTCCCCACCTCGGACGTTTCACTCTTGGCTTTTCCCCTATCCTGGGAGCACTCGCGGCGGTGCATGAACTTGAAGTCCTCTTCGGCTTTCCGCTCGGAGCGCAGCTTCCACCGGAGCTCGTCGCCATCTCCCGGACGCCCCATGGAGCTTTTTGGGACCTTTGTGCGGCCGCGCACGGAGCCGATGGGTTTCCCAGGTAAATTGGGCTGGGCGGAGCAAGAACCAGCTGGGGAGAAAAGCCCCGGGAAAGGCTGCTGCTCCTTGAATCGCCCCTGCTGGTGCCGCAGCGTCCAGGGGGGTGGATGGAGCAGGGGGTGGAGGGGACCCGGGGTCCCCGCGGAGCTTCGCGAGCGCCTCTGCCGTCCCGCAGCTCGGCCCGGCAACGCGGGCAACGTGAAGACCCTGGGCAACACCTACCAGTTCACGGTGGACGTCAGCGACTTCGCCCCCGAGGACATCATCGTCACCACCTCCAACAACCACATTGAGGTGCACGCGGAAGGTAACGGCGCCCCCCGAGCCCTCACGCTCCGCAGGGCACCCCCGGGGCTGCCGCTGGGCACCGCGACCTTGCGGGAGGCTGCGCAGCCCAGGGGCTCCCGGAGACCTGATCCGCGCTGCTCCCTAATGGATTTGGCACCCATAAAATCCTGGGAGAGATCCCCCCTCCTGGCACTGCCCTGGCACGCCTGAGGCCGGGCAAACCCGTGTCGTGGCTCCTTCCCCTACCGCCCTCGGTGAGAACAGCACCCTCGTGCGTGCGCAGCCCCAGCCGACTGACGCGTGTCCCGCTGCCGCCTGTCACCCCGCACACCTGTAGGGAGCCCAACACCAGCACCCCCGCGCGACAGGCGGTGCTGCCCGCCGCGGCGCTCCAACGCGCTCCCCGCTTCCCTCCGCAGCTGGCCGCCGACGGCAACGTCATCAACAACTTCACCCACAAATGCC